CTCATATTTCGTCCCTTCTTTCATAACATAGTTACACACAATTAAACCCACGCTCGCCCAAACTGCGAAAACAAGAAAACACCTCCATGTTTTGTTTGTTCCACAAATTACGGCAAATAGAATATTTTTCATAGGAGACAGTGTATCTGATTCGCAAACGCTGCAACAATGTCTCGGGTTCTGCTCACAATTGCTGCAATTCTAAGCGTCTAATGCATCAGCTCCAGTAAGAAACTTCCAGAAGTAAATCCCGATCTTGGCCCATGCCAAGATATTGCTCAGAGACGTTATCTCACCACGTGGGCTCTTATTTTGGCTGAACACGAGGAAGCATAATTTATACAGCATGGGCCCAAGTAATTTATTCCAGTTAAATCAATCGCAAGAATCACCTTTACATGCTACGACAATCTAAGTTATCACGAAAGTGAGCCTAAGTTGTCGATTTGTAATGCCAAAATATTGAAGAAAGCAATTGCCTTCAAATAAAAAAAAAACAGCAATATTTAGCAATGGGTCAATAAGGCATAAGGCGAGGCTATTTGGGTCTTCCATTTGGCAAAAAAGGAAGTAAGAGTGAAACCAGAACAATCTAATTTTTTCCTCCTTTTTGTTTTCGTTTTATTAAACGTCCTAATGGCCCACAACAACAGTTTCGTACCCTGAAAAAGGACCTTAACTCCACATTGTGTCATTTGAATTTTTCTAAATTACAGACGAAGGGGAGAATTATCTTTATATTTTTACAAAGCGAATATACTACATAACCTTATTTTCATATTACATTACAGGATCGTAGCATGCAAAGCGTATTTTTACGATTTATTTAAAGTGGGATAAATTCATTTATTTAGATTAATTTATATCTTTTATCAAGGCTGATTATATCTTTGCTTACATAAATTTTTCAAAAAATATTGCAGCTTTTAGAGTGGAAAACGGGTGCCATTGGCCCGGCCAATGCCATTTATTTCGTCGAAAACCTCACAAAACTGTGAGAAAAAAAAAAAAAAAAACAAGCAAGAAATTAATGGATGCCGGAAGCTCCCGGAAATTGCAAGTGGGGTGGAAATTGATCAAAATACTGAAGTATCGGCACTGATGTTAGGATATTTTTCAGCTGGTCAAAAGCAGCCTTGCACTCCGATGTCCCAGAAAACTTCCATTTCCTTTTTGAGTGGTTGGCTTGGGCATAGCAGAAACGGCCTGAAATTTGCTAGGGTCGGGTTGAACGCCTTCTTTGGACACGAGATGGCCAAGCACTTTAATTTGTCGTGCTGCAAATCGACATTTTTTGCGTTGAGTTGAAGGCCGTTGTCGCTTTGACATGACGATACGGCAATCAATCAACGCAGGTGCTGCTCAAATCTGTTTGAAAATATGTCTACATCTTCTTAGTAGCAGAGGCATATTTTTCCACTTGAGGCCGCGCAACAGTCCATCCATCAAACGTTTCGAATGTTGCCGGCACGTTGCACAAGCCAAAGGGCATGACGGTGAACTGGTACAGGCCATCGGGCGTGACGAAAGCTGTTTTTTCTTGGTCGTTGGAAGCAATAGGAATTTGCCAATAGCCTCAACGGTGTCTCGGGGAGAAAATTACTCAGCTCCCTGTAAGCAGTTGAGGGCATCGTTGATTCTTGGTATTGGTTATACGCCTTTTCGGGTGATCTTGCTTCATCTCCGGTTGTAAACTCAAAATATCACGGTACCATCCTTTTTCTCGACACTAACGACTGGTGGCGCCCATGGACTCGTAGAGGGCGTTAACGACACCATTGTCGAGCATGTCGGTGACCTGGACATTGATGACGGTTCGTTCAGACGCTGAAACGTGATATGGGCGTTGACATAGGGGTTTCTCGTTGCCTGTATCGATGTGGTGAACGCCCGACGTGGAACGTTCCGGCGAACAAATATGGAGATTGACTTGCGCAGGACGTTGAGAATTGAGTTCTTTGGGGACGAATAAGGTGGTTATCTTCAGTGGCTAACAAGAACTGGTCCTTGTCTTCTCTCTGCCGCGCTAATGAACACCAATATTCAGAAAGAAAATTTTCGTAATCAAAAACTTCGATAGCTTCGTATGGCACAGCGAAAGCAATGACTTCATCTTCAGGAATAATTATTGGGAGGGAAGGCATATTTAGAGCCATAAAAAATGCGGTGCCATTGTCAAGGCGAAGCAGAGAAAAAAAGACAAAAGTGCCGATCTTACAAAAAAAAAAAAAAAAAAGAAAGCTTCGGAAGGGAATTATTTCGTCGTTTACCCTGAGACTGGGTTTTTTTTGTAGAGCAGAAGTAACAGAAAAAACAGATAGGTCTCAAACTCAGCTACAAGTTTATTTCAACAACCTCCTCTTATATAGTTCGTTCTCGTCGTCATCAACCAATCACATACGACTTGTCCTCTGCACCGTGACTTTACAGGTTCCACACTATCACAAAAGAAGCGGACACTCCCAACCAGGGAGTCGAGACGCCGAGGCTGAATAATTGAATCGGTGAAAAAAGTGAAGAAAATGGAGGAATTCGTAAGTCATCAAGGATGGATAATTTGATCGTGTCCACAGCAATGTTGTCGCCGGGAAGGGGGCTTTCAGCGAAATCTACTTCTGCACGTCCACAATCAATAACAACCTTTGTTGCTTTTCAAAAGTCCCTCCCAAGAACGACGTCCTGACAGCAGGAACACAACACGAGAAATTGGACACAGTAACACACATGTTGAATGACAAAACGTACTGTACAGACACCTGTAGGGACAATGTTTTATGCACCAAGAGCCTTAAAGGGGCGATCGGAAAACAAGGTTGTGACACTCTTCAACTTACGACAAAGGTCAGCCTGAAGAACTAAAACTGCAGCGCCGGTGTCAATTGATGCTTCAGTGCGCGAACCATCAATAACTACATCTATCATATTTCGGGTAACTGGACGAGGACTTATAAATGTCGAAGGATCTGCAGCTCTTACGGTCTCACCTCTGGAACGGCTCCTTGCAGTGTCTCTCTGCAATGGACAATGTAATACGTAGTCGCAGTTGAGACAGTGAACGCAGTCTGGGAGATGGAGATCTGCCTTGCGTTTGCCGAAGCTGTAGACCAGCGTAATCTTGGGATGCATAGTGATCACTGAACCGAAACCTGGTCGATACTGTGCTTGCGGGGGGGGGGGGGGGGGGGGAGAGGAGAGGGAGGGGGAGGGGGGGGCGTAACTCTAAAAGTTTTTACGGCGATAAAAACGGGCGAAATGTCTAACATAACCACATGAAAAAGCAAATGGGACGTTTTTCTGGCTTCCTACCTAGGTGAGCCCTGCGTGCTTGCCAGCGAGGAGGTGAAAATGGTCGCTGTGGTTGGAAGACCCGAGCACTTACTGGACGTGTTACCATCGCGGCCTACGTAGGCACAAACGGCGGTGACGCACCGGGCGGCATAACGGGGCAAGGGACCGCGGCTCTGACTTGATTCTGAATTAGCGCTCTGGTCGAAGGCGAGATAAAGGACTCCGGAGAGGTCGAAGGCTTTCCTAATTGGCAAGCCACTTCGTCGCGCACGATCTCTTGAATGCCGCATCGGAGTTCGGCCAATTTGTTGAAGGAGCCCTCGATTGCAGTTGTCAGGCCAGCCGGCTCTATGGGAGGTTCCAGTTTACGTTTAGCTAGCAAACGCCGAAGGCGCGGCTCCGAGAAGTTCTGTCAGATGTCGATGACTTCAGAGACAGTCGCAGGCACTTTGACAACAAAGATATGAAAAGCATCTTCAGCAATGCCTTTCATCTTCTTCAGTTTTTCATCTTCGGTCGTGTGGGTGTCAACACGCTTGCACAACTTCAGGACATCTTCGATGTAGCTAACGAAGCTTTCATCGTGCAGCTGGGTGCGTGATGCCAGTCGCAGGCTTTGTCTTCTGTCTTCTTCACCAATGTCTTCTTCGCGACGAGCTTCCGCTGGGCAGGCTTTTGAAATACTTGCTGGATTTTTGCTTTGAACTGGGGCCAGGTCGCCAGCTCTAACTCATGGTTGGTATACCATAGTTTTGCAAACGTCGACCAAATAAAAAAAAGGCGTTATTTAGCTTCATGATGTCATCCCATTTGTTGTGGAGGCTCACCCTTTCAACCGACTTCAACCAGTCCTCAATGTCGTCGTCACCAGTCCCGCTGAAGAGCGGGTCCCGCTGACGGAGGGCTGCGGCGCATAAGATGGTGTTGCACCAGCAACAGGAAGTGTCTGGTCAGAAGTGGTGTCCTGCGCTGCACCGTCCGAGGCTCCTTTGCGTAGTAATCCCTGGCGTGGCATCGATTTTAGTGGTCCAAGATAGAAAAACACTTGTGAGTGAGGTCTGGATAGTTGGGAAAACCCGCACCTCCATCAGTTGTAAGGAACCGATGCTACAGACTGATGGGGGTATATTATTTACAGTGAAGTAGTCAGGTTGAAAGAAAGGCCGCTGGGAACCCAGCTCGTCGTGCGCTCTGCCCGAATGAACCTCTTCCTCCTCGTCTTTCCTCTGCCACGGTGTTTTTCCATAAAGCGCTGTAGATCTTCTCTTCGTCACAATATATATATATATATATATATATATATATATATATATATATATATATATATATATATATATATATATATATATATATATATATATAGAGAGAGAGAGAGAGAGAGAGAGAGAGAGAGAGAAAGAGAGATTTTGTTTTGTGGTTGTTGCTGCTGAGCTTGTTTTCCAATAAGAAATTTCGTCGTCAGTCAGCACTAGTCCTTTGTACAACTCCTTTCTTCTCTTTAGGTTTTTTTTTTGTGCGCTGTAATGTTTTCTTCAGCCCCAACTCCTCCTGGGACCAAGGCGTTGCCTTCCCCTATTCCAAAACTCTCTACCTCGCTTTGCTACTCCTGTGTCGTAACGAACCTGTTTATTTATGTCCCACAGGTGTTTCCTCTCCAGGACGAGTGGTACGTGACGTACAGGAACTACGAGGAAGATCCAGCGTTTGGTTCAGGCAAATGCTTGAAAGCCAAGCAGGAATCTCCAGAAACGGAGGACGGCTACCCAATCGTCCTCAGCTACAAGGGCTCAGAACCCAAGTAAGTGCAACTTAATCAATCTTAAGAAGCAAAATGCTTGTTTTTATATCTGCCTTTCAAGCCGTCATACGCAGAACTTTGCTTTATAGAGAACGCAGTGGACACTGATGTCCATATCAACTGGCCTGGTACGCGCCACCATGTTCGCCTTGCCTAACGTGATCATTTGTTTTTTGCGCGAAACGTACAGGGGCGGTATGAAGCCAGTTTCAGATGTACTCAAGGCGAAAGGATGCGTGATGTGGAGTTGTTTTCGAAACGTGCTTTATTTTTATACACGCCTGGCCTCTTTTGGCGTGGAGGGGGCGAAAAAAAGGAGGAGAAATGCGATGAGGGGGGTCTGAGAAGGGAGGAGGAATGAGATGAGGGATGAATACCGTTACTTGGACTCACTGAGACGACGGTTCTTGGTTTGGTCCATCCAGGGAACGCGATTGGCCGGAGTTCGAGTGCTAGTGTCGCAAGCGCTTCAGCGCTTTCCAGCGATACTCCGGAGCAGTACAAGATTGAGTGAGAACATGTCGCCACGACCCAGCAATGCTATACTTTGTTTCAGCTTCGGTCCAGACGCAGCCGATGCTACAATCGCGAGCATGTGGCCCAGAACAGTGCTTGCACTGCAGAGCGCGCGTGCTTGGCATGGATGCTGAAAGCCCGGAGCGCGCGCTTGTAGCTTTGGCTGCGTCTGGATCGAAGCTGAAACGAAGTATAGTCATTTCGGTCCGGGCCTGGATCGCCGGGGTTGGTTGGATTATATTCACCGATGTTTGTTTGCAAACAAGCTCATACCACCCCATATCGGCGGACCCCTGCGCGCTTCCGGTTTTCCTCTTCTTTTCCATTTGTCTCTCCTCCTTTTGTTATTTGTACTACTTTGTACAATGCACTAATGTTCTTACAAACCTACTACAGAAACTTCTCTGAATGAAACTCTTCTTACCCGACCGCTGTGCGTTGCTGAAGAATAAATAAATGTACTAGCGGAAGTCTACTGGGGCACCAAATACTGTGGCGCCCTCGTGGTATCAACTCCCACAGAATGTGGTGAATAAGCGGACTTGCCAGACCGGTGTCATCATTACGGTATTTGTTTGTAGCCGTCTGAGCGCCACACTCTTCCAACAGGAAAATTTCTGCGGGATCGGATGATGGTCCACCGGCAGGAGTGCGGAGAGTTAGGCCCTCGAGCCAGTCTTTCCTTTTTTTATTCTCAAGGAGGTCGATGTATTGATATTGATGGACGGGCTGAGGGATAATACGTGTTGAAGGCAAATTTACCGCATCTAGCTGCGCCCTCGCGGCCTCGATCGCCCGCTCGTTTCTCGGAATGTTTAGTTGGCCGGGAACCCACGCGATCGTTATAAAGGCGACAGTCTTAATTGTCGCAATGCTCGAAAAAGCGGTGTCGTTGTGCCCGAAAGATTGCCATAAAAATACGTCACCAAGCACGCGCCGCTCAATTGTAGGCTCAAGGACGACGCTGTCTTTGGCGTCGTCCTCGAGGTCGCCCTAGACGTCGCCGTCTAGGCGTCGTTCTCGACGTCGTCCTAGACGTTTTCCTTAAGGCCCCCCAAGAAGTCGTCCTCGACGTCGCCCTAGACGCCATCCTCGACGCCGTCCTAGACGCTGTCCTTGACGTCGTCCTCGACGTCGTCCTCGACGTCGTCTGAGAGGTTGTCCTAGATGACGTACTTGGCGTTGATCTCTAGAACGTCGCCCTAGAAGTCGTCCTCGACGTCGTCCTAGACGCCATCCTCGGCGCCGTCCTAGACGCTGTCCTTGACGTTGTCCTCGACGTCGTCCGAGAGGTCGTCCTAGGTGCCGTACTTGGCGTTGATCTTTAGGGCGCCGTCCTCGACGTCGTCCTATACCTTGTCCTAAATTTTACTACGTGTAGAAACATTACTCAAAACATTTCTTTACCGGGACTGTAATGCTTTCGCCTAAAGGCCGGTTCAGACATACAGCGGAGCGCTAAGTTAGCGCTACGTGAGCGCTCGAAGGAGCGCTCTTCTGGCGCTTCCTGGCGCGTGATGTAGCGCTCTGTTAGCGCTTCAGAAGCGCTTTGTCAGAGCTCTGTTAGCGCTACAGAAGCGCTCTGTTAGCGCTCTCACGCCCCTTGTGCCGTGCTTGCTGCTGCGGAATAGCGCGTGCACGGCGATTCCTTGGTTGTTGTTTTTCATTTGGCATTGAAAGAAGAGGAGGTAAAAGAGCGGCTCTCTAAGCAGAGGGTCGGGCAGGCGACCCAGAGTCATGGACTCTGAGCGACTAATTGATTGGTTACAACTCATCGCTTTCAATTCGATATGTTTGACGCTGGTTTCAAGGACGCGCAGGTAAAAATAATCGCCTTCGAAAGAGCTCTGTGTCTCGGTCCCTCAGCCTAGGAACAATGTTCGCCGGGTACCCGTCGGTATCTCGGTGGCGAAAGATTTCGCGCACCCAGAAGGCTCTTCTGGGAGTTAAGCCGTCCACACAGATATGCACTCATCGCGTATGTAAGAGCATTTGTCGCATTTCTATTTCAGCATCCCACATGTCCGCCACGGTGCTGCTGATGCACACCCAACCGCAGGAACCGGAACCGCAGTGCACCTGCTAATCCGCAGCACCGCAGTACAAGAAGCGCTAATGACGCGCTAACACGGTGCTACTGAAGCGCTAACAAGGCGGTACTGACGCGCTAACAAGGCGCTACTGGAGCGCGAACAAGGCGCTACTGGAGCGCTAACAAGGCGCTACAAAAGCGCTAACCAGGCGCTATATTAGAACGAAGTCGCACGCTGAAAGCGCCACATGAGCGCTCCTTGAAGCGCTCACGTAGCACTAACTTAGCGCTCCGCTGTATGTGTGAACAGGCCTTAAGTGTACTCTTAATTTTTTTCCGTTATGCTTATGTGCTTGCGTGGAACGGATGTAGGTTCGGATTTGCGGGACCGTTGGGTTAAGTCTACCTGGGCGGCACAGCTCCCGAAGAGCTTCTCTTGCGTCGGTGTAGATGACCGTCTTCGTCAAGTGGATCTTCCGAACTTCCGTAGCAGATGGAGTGGTGAGCAGAATTGTTTCAAGCTCCGCCGCGAAGGAACTGCACGTCCTACCAACGTTTGTGGCCTAGTTTCGCCTCGACTGGACGAATACCAGGCGATCTCAGTGCGTCCTCGCTTGCCCCAGGCTGCGTCAATGTAGAACACCTCTTTGTTTTCAAGATGTTCGGCTCCTTTTTTATGTGATTGGAGACTTGCGTCATTTGGCCTCCGATGATGTTGGTGACACGGTTTTGGGGCAATGGCTTGTCTGGTGTGATAAGTTCGTTGCCCCATGGTGGAGGTGGCGCGTTGTAGGGGGCGATTACGGTAAAATATATATATTGGTGAGGGCACACAGGACGGCGAACGCTGCGGCACGATTGGCCAAATAAAGTACTACAGGCGTGCGCCCGAGCAGCCTCAGTCGACGGCGTCTCCACCTTGCAGATGGTGCAACTGAGTACAAATAAGAAAGAAACGAAACTAAAAGAGTGTCTCGTTCCCATAGCACCTAGGCACGCACTCTATCCGTTCGGAGCATCTGCTCTCACCTTGACGGACGCTAGCTTGAACACCGCGCCAGGGATCACTCCGCTTCAATGCCTTCCTAAAACTGTTATTGCCGCCGTTGAGGCACAAAATCAGAGTCAAAGATGAAGTACCGTCCAAGCAACACGCGTAGAGCAAGTGTCAAGTTTTACATGACGTAATCCACCCAGAAAACTAGCTCAGCTTATCCCAGTCTAACCGTTAGTTTCCCCGTTAGCTGCAGGGGGACAACGCGAGGCGCGAATTAGGCACGAGTCTCGGGTCAGCGTTCGGCTCAGACTCGTGTTCTCTCCGATGGGACACGTGTCTCGACCGAACGCCGATTCACTCTCGTGTCCAATCCCAGCCCTTTTTAGCTGGAGAAGAAAATTAAGTACAATATCCTTCGTATCAAGGAGGTGTTGTTTGGCACTACGGCCTTCCTACCAAAAAGGCGTTGGTCAATACTACGGCCTTTCTATCAAGGAGGTGGTAATTGGCACTATGGTTATCCTATCAAGAATGTGTTGATTGGCAATACAGCCTTTCTATCAAGGAGGTGTTGGTCAGCACTACGGCCTTTCTATCAAGGAGGTGTTGGTCAGAACTACGGCCTTCCATTGAAGGGGGTGTTGGTTGGCACTACAGCCTTTCTAACAAAGAAGGTGTTGATTGGCACTGCGGCCTTTCTATCAAGGAGGTGTTGGTCAGCACTACGGCCTTCCTTTGAAGGGGGCGTCGGTTGGCACTACACCCTTCCCAACAAAGAAGGTGTTGATTGGAACTACGGCCTTCCTGTAAAAAAGGTGTTGGTCAGCACTACGGCCTCTCTATCATGGAGGTGGTAATTTGCACTATGGGCTTCCTATCAAGAATGTGTTGATTGGCAATACGGCCTTTTTATCAAGGAGGTGCTGTTCTGCACTACGGCCTTCCTATGAAAGGGGTGTTGGTTGGCACTACAGCCTTCCCAACAAAGAAGGTGTTGATTGGAACAACGGCCTTCCTAGCAAAAAAGTGTCGGTCAGCACTACGGCCTCTCTATCGAGTAGGTGGTGATTGCCACTATGACCTTCCTATCAAGAATGTGTTGATTGGCAATAGGTCTTTCTATCAAGGAGATGTTGGTGAGCACTACGGCCTTCCTATGAAGGGGGTGTTGGTTGGCACTACAGCCTTTATAACAAAAAAAGCGTTGCTTTATACTACGGCTTTCCTATGAAGGAGGTGTTCGTCAGCACCAGAGCCTTCCTATGAAGGGGGTGTTGGTTGGCACTACAGCCTTCACTAACGAAGAAATTGTTGATTGGCACTACGGCCTTCCAATCAAGAGGGTGTTGGTCAGCACCACGGCCTTTCTATCAAGGAGGTGTTAAGTGGCACTATAATAATAATAATATTAATAATAATAATAATAATAATCTTCATTTGGAGTCCTTGAGTCTC